AATCAGAAAATTCTGATCACAATCAGAAAATTCTGATCACAATCAGAAAATTCTGATCACAATCAGAAAATTCTGATCACAATCAGAAAATTCTGATCACAATCAGAAAATCCTGATCACAATCAGAAAATTCTGATTTGCATTTTTTTTGGATAACAATCAGAAAATTCTGATCACAATCAGAAAATTCTGATTCTTGATGTTCAAGTTGGAGGCTTAAGGTTCAAAACCTGTAGAATCAGAAATGTTCGGATACAAATGGCCAATAAGCGTTCCAAAGTCACAAGTCACCAAAAACAAACGAACAATGCATCAGAAAAACCACTTGATAGTATAGAAACGCTTATAGCAATGCCACGATCAGAATTTTCTGAAAACCAGCTCGCGCGAAACTCCATAATTCTGGCTGCAAAAAAAAGAAAGTAAAACTGTACTGAAATAAAATAGAAGAAACAAATGAAAAAAATTAACTGAACTCTTGGCCGTGTCCCGAAATTAATTGCGCAACCCTGTCTTCGCAACCCTCTCTTCAGCCAAGAATCCCCTACATTTGATCTTATGAATTTTGCATACTGCATGCACCTTATTTCGGGGGCAAACCTTAAAGACAACCCCGCCACCTTCCACAACTAGATTTTCACAGCTGTCCAATTTTAATTCAATGATTGATTTTTTAGTGGGAAAAATCATACAAATTGATGGTTTGTTTTTGTAAGATCGACTTGGCCTCTCACATTCTTGTGCTGTGGGGCACCGTGCACATAATAAGATTTGTGGGACTTCAACTGGATGAGAATCAACAAATGCGAGACACGCCCAGGGCCTACAGGAACAAAAAACAAGCTGAGAGACAGCGTCTTACTGAACATGGGAACATGTACCAAATATAAATCAATACAACGATCAGACCATAAGTTCTACATGGGAAAGCTGGCAAGCATTGCCCAGTGGGGTTAATTGTGATCTTTATCTCGTGTTCAACTTCGTTCTTCAAGGTCGGTGTAGCCCCCATACCAATTTCAATGACCGTCAACACTACCTAGCCTTATGCACAACCCCCCGACCTTAAATACAAGCACCCCCCATGAATTACGAAAGTTAACAGACCCAGAAGCTTCCAGATTAGTTACTAAGGTTTCAGCATCATCCCAAAAGTCTTCACGCAGCTGTCTGTGGACATTCAAGACACATGAAGGCCCATTTCGATTAGGGAATCGCTGGCCACTGAGCCACTCAACACCTCCATGCCAACACGTGCACACAGCAGTTGGCAAATGTGGGGGGCAGAAGAAGACTTTGCCAGCGTCTCTAATGATTTCCTCTTTGGAAACAGCCGCAGGAAGATACAGCGCTGCTGTGTAGGGTCTCCCTTGAAGAACTCCATTGTCATACGTGGTGCCCCACTCAAAGAGTCGTGTAAGCTGATGACTGATGATATGAACTTCAGTGGGCGTGGCAGCAGTGTTTAGTGTTGGGGCAACTAAAGCATAATCCACATCAAATGCTGGATTGATCATATCACGCCAGCGTGCCAGAATTGCACGTTCCCATTCCCAGTATCGCCAAGGACAACAGAGCGCTGTTCGTCATTGTGCCTGACATATCCGCCCTCAAGGTACCAAGTTTGAATTCTCAGAACTCGTTCAAGTCCTGCAGGTCCATCCCGCCCAAACTGCAGCCATCTCTCATGTAGATCATGGACGATCTGTGGCTGTTCATTAAGAGGCGGATGGGCTGGAATGAGGGGCTCGCCAGGCTGCACTGCAACAGTGGCAATCATCGAATCAGTGATGTGGTTGGTAATCAGGGGTGGGTGAGTTGTGAATACAAGCCCTGCCCCAGGTGGCACATGGACTGCCTCATCCTGCTGCCATAGTCATTGTTGAAATCGAAGATCGCAGCGTCGATCAAGAAAGCCGCAGTAAATCTCGCACTTGATGTGGTCTGACAAGATTCTCAAGGAGTGCTGCTGCAAAACCAAAAGCTGCCCTATGAGTGCCTTGGAAGTCAATAGTGACTACAGTGGGCACCAAAAATAGCAGTGGCTCCTGTTGGAGTATGAGGTGGCCAATTCGGTCACGCGTGATCAATGCTCTTGGGGTTGGTTGCACCCAATGGAAGAGCAGCGGCAGAGTCCATCGAATGTGGTCTCGCCATAAATCAATCAATTGATCTTTCCAGTGTTGTTGAAATTGGTCAGCTTTAAGGTTCTGTACTCCTCTGTGGAATAGGGTCTTGTGCCTTGCAAGAACCATGTTGCAGCTTTCAACATACCCAATGGGACCTTCTTCTTCACATTCAACAGCAGCCGAATCGATGAACGCAGCATGGAAGGCAGAAGTCCATGCAGGTAGTGGTTCATCATCATAAGGTCCTCCTCCTTGATAAGCACCAGGCGCAGAGCGTTCGAACGTGATGGGGTCACTGGGTGGTCCATCTAGTTTGACTGCACAGCGTGGTGCAATTTGAAACAAGGTAGCCTCATCTGCACAGTCCTCAGGATGATCAAGATCATGAGGTGCAGCTTCTTGAGCGGCTTCCACTGCAGGATGTAGGCGATCTTCATCAGCTCCATACACTTGAACGTGTCGAATGGTTTGTGATCTCGACAGACCTGCCTGACATGCCTTGACAGCAAAGTATGCTGGGAGCAGAGGTTGCTCAAATGGCGGCACTGCAATGCCAACATAATCTCCATGACGAAGAGTTAGTGCTCGTGTGCACCTGCTGCGCAAGCTCTTGTGCTTCTGCATCGTTGTGCGAGTCCTCCTGATCTGGCAAAGCTTCCGTAGCTTCTGCAAGATCTCCATACACATCTGCTGCTTTCTGGTTGAGGGTAGACAAGGTGTGTCTTGCTGCTTCGAGTTCCAGCTTGACTTTCTTGGCCAGGGAGGCATAGTTGCTTTACTTTGTTGATCTGTGTGCTGCTTGAGCTGTTCTTCCCAACGGACTGCAGCATCTCGCAAGCGCTGGAGCCATTTCTCTCTGTGAGTCGCCTTGGCATCTCTCAGATTGCGAAGCTCCTTGGCTGCCTTGTCGACTGCACTGGAGGCTTTGTGGAGATACTTTCCAAGCAGTTTGGCATTGGCTTTCTCGGCGCGTTCCACCGAAGCTTGGATGTTTACAGGGGCCTTGTTGATGTCCGGATAGTGCTTCGTGACCGCAAGGAGAAGCTCCGTGTTCTCGACAATAGCCGGTGCAGGACCAGCAGCTGTTGAAGGTGCAGCTTGTGGAGGCGGTGTCGGAAATGCAAAGTTTGTCTCTGGCGGGGGCCAAGGGGTCGATGTAGTTTGCAGGAAGGGAGATGGTGCCACCTCTGGCCGTTTGCCTTTGCCCTTCCATTTGCTCCTCAGACTTGTACTCCTTGACTTGGGCCGTTGTTGATTCTGCTTCTTGGCTGCACGACCGCCTCCTTGCCAGTCTGCATCCTGGCGCCAGTTCCAAGCTTCCAGCTGGTTGTAGTGCCGTGGGCTCTTGGGTCGATTCGAGTGGGGAACTCCCAGTGACCAATGCCCTTTGCAGCCGGAGCAATGTACATGTCGTTTTCCGCAAAGACGACCACAAGGACAGTTCCAAGCATACGATTCCTGAGCCATGGTAATCGCACGAAGGAGCTGCGAATCCCTTGAATGACGGGTCGCAAGCGTTCGAATGATCTTCTTCAGCTGGTGCTTTGACAATGAGCGAGCACCAGTTCTGTGTTGATACCAAAGCAGCCTTGCCGTCGCACGCTGGACTCGCAGCCTGAGGCGAAGCGCAATGGTCAATGGTATAGTTGTTGTGAAAGTGTATCAAAGCAATGAGGAAAAACAAGGCCAAAATACACATCAAAATTGTACGGTGAAGATGTCCAGGAATTCAATGGGTAGCAAATCAGTTCCAAGCTCGTTGCAGGCCCGAACTTATAGACAAAGTTCCTGTGGTAAAATGGTGGATGCTGCAGGGCGTACCAGTTAACAGCAACGAAAGGCCAAATTAAAAACACGCGCGATGCAGGGCGAACCAGTTCACAGTGCACGTAGGAGCCCAGAAAATGCAGGCGAAAAAACAGTTCGAGAGGAAAACTCACAAAGTCCAGGGGGTCCAAGGTGAAGTTCACTGGAGGTAGAGCGACTGGGAAAGCAGTGGACGTAGTGGCTTGCTTAGAATCAACACTGCAAAACGTCAGGCTGCCACCAATCAGCAACCCGCGGTTCAGGCGAAGAAGGTGAAGACCCACTAAGGTTATTGCGGCGCGACCCCAACAAGACCGGGCGAGGGGGGCCAGAGCCGAAACCTTCTTGAACATATGGATGCGAACAAAAAAAACTAGTGCAAACCTTGCGAGTTTGCTAACGCTACCTTGCAGAATTGCTAAATTTAGGTGCGTGCCGCCTCATAATGAAGAGGGAATACCACTAGATCCACATGAATTATCAACCACTGGTTCAAAACTTATTAAACCTGTTTTTGACACATGGTCATGTGAAGTAATGTATGATATAATTATAAATAATACAATAGACAAACGTACTGTGTAATACATGACATACGTATAATTTAGACATAAATTTACAATACATGATGTAATAGTATATGTGTAATATACACAATGTGCGAATATAATGTTCGGGAGAAGGCTCACTTGCACCCAAAGAAGCGGCTCACTTGCGCCCAGATTGACATGACCACATCAGGAACATCATACTGTATCATACTATACAATGTGTCAACTTGTCAACCATTTAGGGTCAACTTTAGGGGACTTGGGGGGCTTGGGGGGCCAGAGATAGACACTAGTGCAACTTCCTTCTGTTTGAGTCCACAGGAGCTGCCCAGGCACAAGCGAGAGAAACCCGCGGGCACAAGCAACACAGCTTCCCAATCTGCATTTGTGATTTGTCGTCTGAGTATATGAATTAATATGAACTGATATGATATGTATTCCATTCAGAGATTCGCTTTGATAGTTGCGCTCTAGCCAAAACGGTTTGCTCAAAGCCAGGACCTGAGGGCGTTGCACTGCACTCCTCGGCTGCGTCGCATGCTGCGGGCCGCAAGACCACCGGCGGCCAGCAAGCCAACCACCTGAAAAATCAGACCATTCAAGGCCCCTGGGTATCACTGGGTATCACTAAGTACAGGGACTATCGGCTTCATGAGTTTGTGCAATTTGAATCAATTTGATGCAATCTGCGTGGATCATGCATTGTGGTTGAAACGTAATGAACTTCAGTTATCTTCAGCTTTTCAAGCCCTTGATTTTCCCAAAACTCTTCTGGACTTGGCAAATCCAGCCACAAAGATGAAAGTGTAGCTTGGAGCCTTTTCCAGCTCGCGGATCTTCAGATGATACGGTCAACATCTTTGAACTTTCTTGAATTAAGCTACCAGCTTAATGTAAAACATATATACATATATATTGCCATATTGCCTATTTGTTTTAATCATTATCATATATAGTATAGAAATATCGTCCCTGGAGAACAATGTCATGACATGCATGTCCCGTTTTCAGTCAGATTCTCAGACGTCCCAGCAAATTTTGTGTGTGGTGCGTGGAGACAACTGCTAATCCATCCAACAAATTGGTGAATGGGCTAAAACATTAAAACTCTTGCAGCCCATTGACAATTTGGACGTCACTATTTGTATCAATTTGTCATCACTGGAAAGGTAGGGTTCCAAATGTGCAAATGGTCTGAGCAGTGACGACCTCAATCTGAGATGCGGACTGCGCCACAAATGGAGCCACTGGAGCCATTGCCTTTTGCAAACCCACAGATGATGTATCATGATGTATCTTAGCTCAATCCAGACCGTGGCCTTGAAATGTGCTGACTGAACCACGGATCCAGTCTGCTTGAGTGGAGAAACATGGAGAAACAACCAAATGGGACCAGAATAGTTAAGAACTTGCACTGTTTAACAGCTGCGCTGCAGTGCCAGAGTTTGTAACTGGGGATCCCCCAAGCTCCATGGCCTGCAGCGGCACTGCCAGCTCCAACCTTAGTTTTTTCCCATGAGCTGAGGGAGACATTTTGTTCATATTTGTTCATGTGTTTCCATATTATCTAAAGTCATCCTGAAATCAGATTAAGCCTTTGACTTGCTCTGCAATGCGGGGTGGCGAGAGTGTCTGACGAACAAACAGAAACATGTCACCATTGCGCCACTTGACCGAACAATACCGAACATCTCAAGCCGACGCAGGGCCTTAGGTACTTGTCCCACTGCAAAGGCCGAAAATACCCTCGCAGCGAACAGGGCGGCCATAGCCGCGCAGGCCACCTGGCCAAGAGTTCTCCCCTGATCTACGCAGTGGAAAAGAGTATACTGGAATATGTGTATACATATATATATATATTATACATATACATATATATATATATACATATATATATATATACGTATATTATACATAAAGGATGTGAAAGGAACATGATGTTACATGATTTTGAAACGGGGCCTCATTGCACGAAATCATGTTTTAATAGATCTGCAAATATCTCATGGAACAGGGCTGCCAAAACAGTAGGGTTGGCCGAAAGCATTCGAGATACCATGATCTCAACCTCAGAGGCAAGCTGGATAAATCTTGCGCGGCAATGGCTGTGGATTGTCAGACCACGACCTAAATGGCACTGGTGGCGCCCAACTCCGGCCACCTCCAAGGTTTACCGTTCGAGCCAAAGACCCAGGCGCACAAAGGAGCCAATTCCGATAATAAATGTTGATACAGAATGATACAGAATTCCATTGGATGTCCGTCTGTTCCTCCTGAACCTGCTCACGCCCCAAGGATGCATGTTTTCCGCTCTCTTTGAAGCGTTGGAAAATCAAGCGAAACTGCTAGATTTCCATGTCCTATCTTTCCTACGCCCTAAAGCCTAAAGATCCTACGGCCAGAAAGACTTGCTTTGCAAGTCCGTGGCCTTTTGCGTCAATATGCATTCAGCAGCACTATCCTTCAGCTTGGAGGTGGAAATACAATCAAACTCCAGCTGGAAAAACTAAGTTTTATTAAGCAGGTTTGAAAGTGAAAAGTGTGCAGTGCCGTGCTCAAAATGACAGTCAGGCCTGCCGCCAGGTAGACGTGCTTGATTTCCCAGCATTGACCCCTGACGGCTTTTAAGGTCCACTCCAGCAAATAGGCTCTCTTGAGACTGTGACAGCAGTCGAAGAAAAAATGAAGATAAAGAAAGTGAGAGCCAAGCCCTACCAAACTGGAATAGCTAATAAATTAGATAAATAAATTAGAGACATAAAATATCTCAAATATTCTCAAACCATGTCAATTCAAGCGCTCCTTCCGGCGACTGCCAATTAACTTCATGAGCTCCTCACGCTGCACCAGACGATAGACTCGGAAGTTGCAGGATAGGGAAACGTCCGGAGAAGCGAATCGAAGCATCAAGAGCAGAAGTTGTTTTTTCCGAATTCTTGCGAATTGATAACAAGCTGTCCATACCTGTCCTCTGAGCCTTTTGTTCCAAGGAGATTGTAGCAAATATCCAAGTTCTTCATGCCTAGGTGCGGTGGCGTACAAATATAGTACTTCCAGATGTTGATCTAGATAATGTTGATCTAGATATTCTAGATATATATATATATATCTATATAGATCACTAATTGGACCTGAGAAGATCCCCGCAACGTGACATCGCAAGACCCGAAGAATCAACTTAGTTTCTGAACGTGTTGAAATGATGGTGGCTTGTGGCTAAGGATGGCAAAGGATGGCTAAGGTCTGTTCATACGCCATCACGAGCGAGCTTGATGTCAAGATCCTGACTTAAACATGGCCATATAAACAATGTACACAGGGCGAGCATAGCAAGCATAGGTGTGTACCCTTGATGTTTTCTTTTGATCAGCGTAAGAAGTGTTGCTAATGGACAACAATATGTGAATACATGCAAAGTATGCACCACGTCGCCAATGTTGGGTCGCAGTTTTCATACAGTAGATTCATGTAGATTCTGAGTTCGGGCAAGATTGCTGCTTTTTAAAGCATCCTTTTCCGGCCTCTCCGACAGTCAATTCGTAGATCATGTCGCCATCTTCCGTCTTGCCATTGACATCGACAATCCTGGAAAGCAAAAAAGTCTCAAAATATCCAGAATCTTGCCATGTGAAAGGTGGACTCAAGAAAAGGCTCCTGTCACCAGCAAAGACGGCTTCGCTGGGATGTTTCTCATTGTGCTTTTCCACCCAGCCCTGAAATCCAAATATGCGACTGTCGCTTCATTGTCGCTACATCTTACAGCAATTAGAAATCGACATCACATCTAGATCAATTTGAAGCTAAGGAGAGTCAAAGACCGAGGAGGGCACCATGAATTCCAAGCCCGTCACCTCTGCTCATGCAACAGAAGACACTTTTCTGACTTGCAAGACTTCAGCTTTGCTGGAGATCTAGTAGCCGTTCACGCAAGAAATTCATGACATGGGGGCTATATCGCGTGACTGATGCTATTTGGTGACATCAACAACTGAAGTTAACTTAAATTTTTCCTAAAATAGTAGAATCATGTAAAATCGAGTTGGTCATGCTGCTCTAGAGTTTCGCGCTGTCATGCCGTCCAGCACAAATCCGTGCTTGGTTCCAGGAAGCCTTCACCAGGGGCGACGGTTGCAGTGACAGCGTAAACAGGTTAGAAAGACTCTGGTCAAAAGGATTATGTGAGTGCCTCTTGATGTGCATCTGTATCATTGAATCTGTCCTTGCCAAACGAAATGGATTTCCAAGCGACTTCGAATTTGCAAGAGAACAAGTTCAGGAGGGCTACAACGTGCTAGAACTCAGCAAGTAATTAAAGAAGTACAAGCTTTGGAAACTTTGCAACTTATCAATGCCAAGGATCTCCAGGAACCTGTCCAGCACCGCTCGAGCACCACCCACCTTGGATCCGCGCACCGCATAGCAGAGAGGGACCATGCATTTTTCAGTACCCTTGCTGTTACTGGCTGCCCAAACCCGCAAACGATTGTGCGAGATGTTCAGCTTCTGCAGTCTACCCTGGAAGGGGGATTAAACGAGGATGGTGGATAAAAGATGATAAAAGTATGAAGGCAGATAAAAGAGGATAAAAGATGACAGAAGGAGATGACAGGATGCGAAGGAGCATGTTCTGGACATGAGTATTCCAATCTTGTCCCGGTGGCATTGCGCACTCTGCTGACTCTGCCTTGTTGCCAACGAGACCCTCTGCGATGGATTCACCTCCAGCCTGTCAGATCTGTCAGATCTGTCAGGTGTTGTGAAGCTGGCCTCGGCAAATGCCTCCTGCAGGTCGTTGTCAGAGATGTCCAAGTCCTCAACGCCGAGCCCGGAACACATGAAACTTTCATTCAGTTTGTGTTTTCTCCATTGACTCCATTGATTTCTGCAAGTTTAAGCTCTGCCTCCAGCTTCAAGTTGGTTGACAGCATGCTCCCAAGGCGCCTGTAGGTCATTATCTGCTTCCTATTGTTCACTGCTCCCAACGCTTGTTCACTGAGAAAAGTTCTTGGAGCAACAAGCGTTCTTGCTGCGCCAACAAGTTCTTCTGCCGCTCCTGGCACCCTCGGGTGTGATGTGATTCCTGTGGCAAGTGGATGCTCTTGGAACTTGCTAGTTGGAGGAATTGCAGGAATAACATGGAATAACAATGAATCTAAGATGCATCCACAGTTGCAAACAATTCTCAATGTTGTTCAGTCTTGTAAGTATATCAAGATGAAGCTGGTGGCATTTTTGAGCAAAATGCGCCCTATTTTCAGCCAAAGGTCGTGCTCAAGCTGAGCTTCTGGACTGCCACCACAGGCCTGCAGAGTGAAAACATGTGAAAACGACCACGGCTACAGCAGCAGCGAAATCTCTGCCTCAAAGCCTCATCAACACGCTCCAATCTGCAACGATGCTGCAAATCGCTGTATGTTTCGGAAACACACAATCAATCACAATCATATGAATCATATGAGGCTGGCTCTTCTGAAACGGCGCATGATGGGGGCAACTGTTGGGAAAATCCGCCCTCCACTGATTCCGATTGTGTCTGGTCCAAGAAGAGCAACAGTTGGAATGCACTGGTTGTCCTTTCAAATGTTCAACCGAATCCTTAAACGCTGTTCAGCTCAAACTTCGTCCGCCCATCTACCCATCTACCACTGCATCATGAATTGGCTTGACCAAGTCTGTCAAACATGTCAAGGTCACACAGCGCAAAGAGGGTCAAGCCTCGCTGCACAATCAGAATTTAGTGGAAGTAACTGGAGTAACAAAGAAAGTTCAGATCCGAAAACAGCTTCTGAGCAGCCAGCCCTCGATCTCGAAGACCGCAGCCTCGCATCTCCAAAACCCTCAACGACCTCCAGCAACGGTGTGTCTTTAGGTCAAAAGCAGGATTGGTACATTTTCGCAGAATTTTCGCATGTGTCTTGGCAGAATACAACTCACAACACATCGACCACTCTTGGGCTTCGAGCCTCGCATCATCCAAGGCTTCGCAAAACTCACCACGTAGGCCCTCTCCCGCATCATTATCTCAGAGCAAAGTAGCACGGCGTGAGAAAACCAGGATGAAACCAGGCCTACTATATCCTACTATAATATCTATATCTTCATTGATCCTCATTGTAATTTAATATAAAGTAGAATCATGTACAATCTATTGTGAGGACTGACTATTCAACTCCATGCTGAAATCAAAGCTCCGTGTACTTCATGCTTTCGCATGTCCCGGCTCCACGCTACCGGAGTTTTCTCAAAGAACTGTGTGTCACCGGAGTTTCTCCAAGGTAAAGGCTGCTTACGTCCAAAACCTGCAGCAGAGGAGAAGCTGTGCATGTAAGATATTGATTTCTTTGTGTATTGCTGATGTGTCGTTGAAGAACTTAGTGCCAAAAATCCAACAGAGCATCTGAAATAATGAAGTTCAGTAGCTTCCGGGAATCTACAGAATTGACAACACCAGGTGCAAGTAAGTATAGTAAGTGAACCGAATGTAAAGGAAAACAATCGCCGCGCTCAGAAAAACAGATGCACCTCCAGAGAGCAACACCGCGTCAGCAAACGGCCGACCTGCAAGGCCGCCAATCCAGCCATGCTGGGCATGGCTGAGCTGTCTGAACAGGTGCTAAAGGCACAAGAATACACATAAGAATCAGAAAGAGATAGAAAGAGGTTTCACTATAACTTGCATCAGTCGCAGTCCTCCCGAAATCCTGCAGAGCCAGAGAGACCACATCTGCGAAGGCTCAACCTTCCAGCGAGATCGCTGGTTTCTGGGCCAGGCTCCAAAGCACAGTACAGACATTCACGAGGCATGTAGCAATATGTGGCATGTACAGTCCCTACCTGCGCAGATTGCCTACCTTGCAAGAGCAATGGTCACACCAAAGGCAAGGAAAGTAGTTGGCAGAAGTGGCAAAAACGTGTTCTTTCTAAAGTAGTCCATGCTGCTTCGCTCTATCTCACCTTGTTTGCAAGACTCAAGCTGAGTGCTTGGAAGCCAGCATTTCCTTCGGGCAGCTTGGGGCGCCATGACATGCATGTAAGAAATTGTAAGAATAGTCATGCCAGTTCTGCAGGCAGCAGTCCTAATTCTTCGTCGGGAGTAGTTCCAGCAAGGTTTATGTCCGTCAGAATGCCATCTGTTGAGAATTCAACCAGGTCTTCCTCTTTAATCTCAAAATCCTCTGGTCTGACCTCCAGCACCTCCAAGGGTCAAAATGTGTCACAACTGAAGGATCTGAACGCAGGAGGATCCCAGAGAAAGGACCTCGTCATCCTCTTCCCTCTCTGTCTCATCAAATTGACTGGTCTTGCGACTGGAGCAAGTTGTTCCCTCTAGTCCATCTTCCTGCACAAGGAGGGCGCTCAGCTGTGAAAGATCAAACAGCAGTGCTAAAGCAAAGACATATAACATGAAACGATATCCGTTAGAAAATATCTACATGTTTCAGCGCATATATGTGCATTCACGCATGTATACTTTCGATATCATTTAATCGTACATAGTACATATGTGTGTTACTAGTAGTATGAGCCAGCTTGTAAATTACCAGCCTGGAAAGCGGCATATCTATATAGGCTTTGAAGCAAAATCCTCTTTTTGAGGCACGTGGACCCATCTGAAAAAGGTGCAAAATCTGAAAAAAGGTTTCGGTTTTGCTTCGTTGTTTAACACGCCCGATTTCTGGGAATTTGGGGAGGGGGACACATAAATACAAATTTATGTTGTTTTAATCTGAAACTAATTTAAAGCCAATTCAAAACTTATTCATTTCAAATAACAAACACTTTAGATCTAAATTGATGGCAATTTAGATTAAATGTCAGTTAACTTCAAATTTGTCTAAATCTAATGACAAATCAACTGAGTTTTAAATTCAGCTAAAAATGATTTTAGTCTAAATTTACTATATAGTATAGATGTAATTTAGAACTCAATGTCATCCAATGAAAACATGCTAAGAAGCCAAAACCAAAAGCCAAAAGCCAAACTGACAAAAATACAGTGTAACAAACATCCAAACAAAATGCCTCCCCTGTTCATAATCTTGTTTGTCTTTAACAAGTGGAATGAACCTGAATGGATTGATGCCGCAGATCAATTTGCAAAGTGTAATGAAAACATAGGCTTCGTTTTTGGGAGCCGGGCGTCGTTTTCCAGGTTTCGGACCAGTTTTAATCTGTATTCCCTTTCTATATAAACTTTTGATTAAGCCTTCTATGTACGTGGTAGCTCAAAAAAAAATATATATATATATTATATACACACATAATTGTTACATACATACATACATACATTACATTACATTACATTACATTCCATTCCATTCCATTGCATTACATTACATTACATTACATACATACATTACATACATACATTACATACATACATTACATACATTACATACATTACATACATTACATACATTACATACATTACATACATTACATACATTACATACATTGTTGACATCATTGCACAACTCAAACAACTGCTGACTAAGGCAAACTGACGGCGGGGCCTTTTGAACTGTGGGGCGGACCAAAGTGTCGTCCTATCAAAGGACAAAAAGCACAGTGCAACCAACTTTCTCATTGCAACATCTGCAAGCCAGGCACTTCGCCTCTGAGAAGTTGCACGTGTGCAGGTCTCTTCCCCCCTTGGTGTGGGCAGGTGGGTTTCTTCATGAATATCCTACCACTTTGGCAGGCCCACCACACCCACCACTTGAGCACGAGTTGTGACGTGCATGCATCATGCACTCTGCTTCAGTCAACAAGGCTTTCACTCCATACTTGCGTTTCAATTCTTGTTGACATCATTGCCCAACTCAAACAACTGCTGACTAAGGCAAACTGACGGCGGGGCCTTTTGAACTGTGGGGCGGACCAAAGTGTCGTCCTATCAAAGGACAAAAAGCACAGTGCAACCAACTTTCTCATTGCAACATCTGCAAGCCAGGCACTTCGCCTCTGAGAAGTTGCACGTGTGCAGGTCTCTTCCCACCTTTCTTCACACGTGCTGAGTCAGCCATTGAACAACTTCCTGCCAAGGGACGGAGAGACGCGTGAAACCCTGCAGGTGGTCACAAACTAATCTGGATGGTTTGTCTGCAGGATTTGAAGCAGACGGCACCCGTGACACCCACATAAAAATGGATTGCTTGGACGAAAACTTGTTGAGAAACTTCAAAAACGCGCTATGCACAGCTACTGACGAGTTCATCGAAATCAAACACGCTCTGGCAGCTTCGTTATCTACAAAAAGGAACATGCGGCCTGTGCATTCCAACCTTCTCATCAACACAACACCAACAATACCAGCAAGCAACTCCAGGCCAGAAATAATCTTCTTTGTGTCAAGTTGCATAAGTCCCATGACTTCGTCAGGGACGCTCTCTGAAAAATAAAACCTTTCCGTTACAACTCCGCTCACAACTCTCAGAGCCACCATGCCAAGAGTGCCAACTTGGTCGTTGTTCTCCAACGCTGCGTCCGTAAAAATCAAGACTTTGGCGTGGGATCCCCCAGCCAAAAGAACACGTGGACAACTCTCTTTAACAAAGTCACGTGCCCACCGCAGCTCTTGCAGCATGTCTTCGGTGAGGTGTTTTCCAGCTTTCTTGCCGCAAGCCCGCTGTCTGATGGCTTTCATATGGAGCGAAACCGCTCTGCCATAAGTCTGGCTTTCGGCGAATTGCAGCCTGCCCATCAAGGTAGACGCTTCCGCCTCTGTCAAACTTTTGGAGTCCTGAATGGCCCCTATAGCATCACAGATCTGTGCAATCCGCGACTCCTTGTTCCTCACCTCCACGATGCCCTGCCTTGCCTTCTCAAGACAAAACTCCACGCCCAGAGCAGAAAAGGTTGGAGACAGGCTCAAACGCTTGCTTTCCTTGTCAGAAAAATGCCAGCCTATCAGTCGCAGAAACCGCTCTGCGGTGTGTTGAGCCCAATCTCCAGCACTGAGAACATCGAGCTGGGGGAAGTCGTCGTAATAAGACGACCAGATTAGCTCAAACAGCTTGGTTCCAACGATCTGTATGGCCCTCGCAATTTTGTTGAAGCCATAGACACTCGAGGCGGCTCCAAAGGGCAGCACTTGGGACAGAAACAACCGCTTCTCGCCAGAGGGGTCGTCAACCGCTAAGACGCTGCACCAGAGAGACCGCTTGGACACTAGAACCTGTTTGTAAGCAGCTGCTAAGTCCAGCGTGCGGCCTCCAATCTCGGGCGCACAGCCCTCCCAAGAATAATGAAGCTTGCCTGTCCAAGACGACCCGCTGGACTTGGTGACCGACACTGTAGAATCATCACGGATGGCTTCCACAAAGGTTCGTGCCATGACGCTGATGTCATCCACGCCAGCAAGGTCCAACTTGTAGCTGGCACCGAACGCAGAATTGACCAGGGACTCGGACAGATTATCAATCTGTCGCACCTTGTCCGGCTGTCGCAGGCCAAAACGCCTGGATGCCACAAACAGCGGCCCCAACAGCTGAGTCAACTCTTCCTCATTGTAGGGGCCCTTCATCCATCCTTTGGCAACTTCATCCATTGTGATGTCCCAAACAGCCTGACGCACTTCTTCAGACTGTAGGTCACCATGCTTAGAACCAAGGATCTTTCTCCTAGACCATCTTGCGGACTTCATCAACTGCTCCTCCGACATAGCAATGCCAGCATCCTCACTGTGGAACAGCTGAGTAGGACAGTCTCTTCCAGTGAGCGAGACCCCATTAAGTTGCAAGCAGTGCAGGCATTCATCAGTGATGCCTGAGTCCTTGCACATCTCTTCAAACAACAGGAACCGCTTGCCCTCAACAATCAGCTGTCGCTCTTCGTCCAAGGCACCATGCAGAAGGTCTTCATACGGCTGTAGTTCCATAGCCCTAGCTTCATAGTAGGCGAACACTTCGTCAACTCTATCAGCTCGGGCAGCACATCCTTCGGTCAGCAGCTTGAAGATGTTGGCCTTGGTGTTGTCATCCACACCGGACGAGTCATCAAAGGGGTGGCTTATCTCCAACGCACGCTCCAAAAATTGTTCAGGGGTGCGCCAAATGCCCACCTCCACTTTCATAGTTGGTTGAGCTCCTTCTCGGTCTTCCCCAGGTAAAATCTTAAGGAGCTTGGAAGGATGGGGGACATCCAACTGTTGGCACTGTTGCAAGGAAAGATTTTGATCTTGAGGCAACTTCAACGGCAGCGCAGTGTTGATATTGCTGGTGAAAGCGAACTCAGGGATGAGTGCAGGGAAACGATTTCCCCGTGGTTGTCTGCCAGCTGCCGCCATAGAAAACGGCACCTTTTTGCGTTGTTTGGGAGGATGTTCAGCTTTCACCCAAACGACGTCTGCAGTTGTTGCCAGCTGTGAAACTAACATTGCGACCTCATCACATAGTTTCTGTGGATAGGCCGCTTTATCCGCAGCGGCAAAATGCCGCTTGTTGTCATCACGACGAACTCCCCCACCAGCATGAGGGTGTGTGCGATCGCAGGTCTTAGCCAACGTGTCCAAGACATCACCAGAAACATACCAGCTTGACCATTTGTTGCGCGCACTGCCCCACATGCATTGTTGAAAGGCGACCTCATGCAGCAAGCCTTCATCAATGAGCTCTTGAAAGTATGGAGTTTCCCAAAGATAGCCCCGAGTGGGATTCTCCACTGAGACCAACACGTTGCGTGCGACGCACTCGCGCACCAACCGAGCAATGTTGCGGTAGATGTCATTGGCTTTGTTGACACGGGCCGCCTCATCTGCAGTCAAGTGTGGCAATCCCAAAGGAAAAGTTGAGGATCTTAAGGGGCGCGGTTCTGGCGCTCCCATCATACGCAATCGTCTGGGCAACTTCCGTTCGCGAGCTTTGGATGCAGTGCCATCTGGAGGGGCTGCGTGAAGATACAATGTTGAGTCTGCTTTCAGAAGGTTGAGAACGTACTGGAAACCTTCTTCACTCGCCAAATCAACACTGATGCATGGGTGACACTGTTTATGTCTATTCTTTACATGGTCGATTGCATGGACTTTGAAACCTTTAGATGCCAAAGTCGCCGACAATCTCGCTGATCCAGCACATAATTCAATGCAATGCACTGAGGACACAGGGCTGCCCAAAATATTTTCGGGCAAGGTCCTCTTCTTGAAACTCGGCTTCTCTCAGGACCCACCCTTAGCGTGGTCACGCTGAGAGTGTGGTTGTTGGCAGCCCCATCGCGAACACAAGTGCCAGCCGCGCGGGCACCGCTGGCCTGCTGATGCTCTGCTGCAACCCCCGCAATTGAAGGAATAACAGATTGGCTCGCCGTCAGGCGTCATCGCAGCTTGACCAAGGATCTCCTGAGGCATCTTGATAGAGGAGGTACTTCTGCCGCCTCGTGACTTGCCTTTCCCCTTGCCTTTCTTCAAGTTTTTGAGCTGACCTTGCAAATTCTCCACTTGCCTACGCAGCTTCTCACTCTCAGAGCTGGAGGCAGGTGGTTGCTTGCTCCTCTTGGCAGCGTCATTCTGCTCCTCCTCATTCTTGCGTTTCGCTGAGGACGGTGAAGAACCTTGAAGGGGTTGAAGATGGAGACGGATTTCAGGGGCAACCACGGCTTTTACCAGCGCATCTTCAAGTGGCAAGCTTGTGCCCACTGGTCGAATGCCGTTTCTGGTCTCCTTCATCAAGAACTTGAAAAGCTCCATGTCCGCATGGTGAATCTGCTCAATGGACACACGTCGATATCCTTCTGGAGGTGTTGAGGTGTATGCCTCCAGCAGCACCTGTGTCCACCGCTCGAACTTGTCAAAGGTCACAATCCTTGCTTGATCAAAGGCCAGCGAACGACGCTGCAGGGCATACCTCAGTTTGAGGTCAGTCGAAACATCGGCCTTCACCTCCTCTTGCGTTTTGACCTCTCGAACAATGCCACTGGAGTCAGGACGCCATGTTGGATCAGTCTTCAGCCCCATAAGCTCTTGATCACGTTTGGTGCACTGCTCCCAACGTACGTACTTCAGCTGGTTGTCCTCCGTCATCTGGAAAACAAGATCGACCAGCAAATGACTCGGCTCCAGTTCTCCGCTAAGATCAAGGCCCGGTAGCCTAGAAGCTTGTGACTGATGTCGAGCCGCTCGTTCAGCCTGAGCGAGTTTTCGTGGTGCATCTTCATCCCTTCGGTCAATCTTAGACCTCAGATCTGCAGCAGTCAATGTGTATGACTCATACGCCAAACGTCTGATCAACGGGAGAACATCTGGTGCTGGAGGCCGAGTCTGAGTGATTTCCTCGGCTAATTTGATGAGGGGTGTCTCGTCAATCTGCCCGGGCTGATAGTTACTAGCAAAAGCCAGCTTACCATATGTGTTCCAACCCAGGTCATCCAAACGAGTACAAATGGCATCCGAAAGGCCTAGTTCCTTAGCCCTATTCTTCAGGACTGCCACCGAGTCCAACATCTTGAGTGCCCAAAAGGCTATCCAAATAAACAGATCAGATGATATAATTGATGAGAAACGTTTGAACACAGCAAACAACGAAAGAAAAAGAAAAACAAGAAAGCTTTAATCGTATGCGACAAGTCAGCGTGAATCCTGTTGCAAGATGCATGTCACTTCGACAACTGTGGAAAACATTGGCAGAGCAGCTCTTGCTCATTACTAACATGCGTGCAGTTCAACATAAGCAAGAGGGGGCTAGCAGTCCTTCGTGAACTGCTCCCTCTTGCTGCTGGACTTCCCAGCGTGCAGGCACACCTCAAAAAGCGGAAGCATCAACTTTAGGATTTGTGCTGTGTCCCGTACTGCAACCAGCAAAAAAAAGTACGAACATGTGGACACATTGCACAAACACGTAGCACATTGCTACAAGTGCCTGCAAAAACTCTTTCTTCACTTACCGAAACAAATTCGGCACTTAGGCCACGCCAGCTCAGGATCCTTCTTGTAAATCGTGAAGGTATCCCCAACCGCTCTGCCACAACATGTCTTGTGCATATCATCCACATGTGCAAAATGCAACACTTTTGTTCTGACATGTCTATACATTCGATCAACATCAGCATGGGGATTAATGCCCGCAGCAGCTTTGCCCATCAAGTCCTCCTCAACTGCAGCCATGCCCTCCTCAGCAGAGGTGCTGCATGAATCGCTGGAAGATGATTCATCATCCTCGGCCTCCAGATCGGAGTCCATGCCACCCAGAGACACGTTCATGTTCACGCGGTTGCACGGACCGTCAATTCGGCCAAACTCGCTCTCGCCCAGCAACGACATCTTGTCTTTGAAAGCTTCATAAGAATTCTCATTCTGCATCGCAACTTCGCTTGCAAACAGTAACGCAGCCTCATCCAAACTGTACCCAGTACTCTCTGAGAATTGGGCACGCACTGATACCGCTTGCGATAGATCCACAAAGTGGGACCCCCTGACTGATAATGGCCTGAAGGTACCTTGTTTGACTGATTCCAGCATTGTCATCATGGCCCGAATTGGGCTGGCCAAAGCGTCGCGACTATAGTTCAGGGCGGAGGCATGGCCCTTCACGACATGGTATCCTAGCAACTCATTCTGCTCCAGAGTCAAACCAAAAACATTTGTGTAAGTCAACAGCGTACACTTCAAACTGTGTGAGGTATAATGCTTGAAGGCTTCCTTAGGCAAGAGCTTGGCTAAGCACTCACCCAATCGCTCCGTCATTTCAGCAGCCCCAAGCTTTTCCAGCGTCCCGCTCAAAAACGAGGACATTGAAGGATTCAAAATGACAACATCTTCGGTGGTTTCAGGAGCTTCTTCTGGGATGGGATCCAAGCCCAACTCATCTCTTGCATGCAAGAAAAATCTGAACCAAGGAAACCCTAAAAGGCCGTGGATTGGTACAATGAGTGGCAGAAATCGCGTTTGTTTTTCAAGTGTTCTGGCAGTCTTGACACGACACAAGCTTCCTTCAAAGTAATCACCCAGAATCTTCCCGTGGCTGATCCTGCTGCAGTCGCTGACACGCAGCCGTCCGTACAAGGCCAGTAAGCACAGCCCTGCACTTCCTCTCAGGAAGTTGTCTAACTCAAACAGGCAACAGAGTTCCAAAATGATGATTGCAACAATGTCCAGGGGAGGGGCCTGACGAAGCACCCTCTTCCTCAAGTAGCACAAATGCGCGGCCCCCTGCACTCGCTGCGAATTTGCTGCATCTTCTGCACCAGCCCAGCCGAAAACTGCACCTACGAATGACAGCGTTGAAACAAAGGTCTGTGCACGTGTTGGTGGTTTTTGAGAACTCCTCAAGTGAGCCACATATCGGTAAACATGCTCCTCATCTATGGGAATGATTGCAACATCGCCAACGTACTTCCGCACAAACGAAACATACATAGCAAATGAGCTCGCTCTGACCTGCAGTGTGGAAGTTGACTTCCTTGCCAACCAATCTTCAACCAACTGTGCTATGGCGCGTTCACAATCCGGTTGACCAACGCATGACAGAAGCAGTTGTCCCAAACGTGAGTCCTGAGGATGCAACAGCACTAGATCGACCCACTTGGCCAAAATCGTTTGCCTTTTGTCGTTCAGCCCAGCGGTCATTCTGTCTTGGTAATGAGCTCGAACCAGCGACTTCTTCTCATGAACATCCATGGTGATGACTGATGGCTGAGCATTTACCGAAGGCAGGTTGCGCGGCAAAACAAGAGGCGATAACCATGGCGGCGCAAAAGACCCTGGAGACCCCAGAACATCTCTAAGGAAACCGGTCTCCCAGGGCAACTGCGGCACAGAGACAAACTTGTTGCCTTGTGCTAATGCTACATCTAGGGATCGTTCAACATGCACAGAAAAAGAGGGCTCCCTAGATGAACTTGCACTTGGCTCATTGGCCAACACTTCTGTCCTTCCCCTCTTTTTCTTCATGAATATCCTACCACTTTGGCAGGCCCACCACACCCACCACTTGAGCACGAGTTGTGACGTGCATGCATCATGCACTCTGCTTCAGTCAACAAGGCTTTCACTCCATACTTGCGTTTCAATTCTTACATACATTACATACATTACATACATTACATACATTACATACATTACATACATTACATACATTACATACATTACATACATTACATACATTGCATACATTACATACATTGCATACATTACCATACATTACACATACATTACCATACATTACATTACATTACATACATTACATTACATTACCATACATTACAATTACATTACAATGCATTACCATAACATTACATACATTACATTACATTACATACCATTACATACATTACATACATTACATTACATTACATACCATACATTACATACACATTACATTACATTACATACATTACATTCATTACATTACATTACATACATTACATACATTACATACACATACATACATTCCAACATACATAACATACATACATACACTTACATACATACATACATACATACATACATACATACATACATACATACATACACAACATACAGATTACATACATACATACATACATACATAATCATACATAATCATACATGCATACATACATTACATAACATAACATAACATTACATTACATTACAGTACATTACATTGCATTACATTACATTACATTGCATTACATTACATTGCATTACATTACATTACATTACATTACATACATATATACAGTACACACTATAGAAAGGTAGTTGCAAAAACGATTCAAATCAGGAGGCCGGGTCTTGGTGGAGGCACCGAATCTCTCAAAAAATGTGGGCAGGTCATGCATGGTGTCGATGGTCGCGGAGGCCATGGTGGGTTCTGGGTCCAGGTGAGCCGCTCGGATCCGCTCGGTGAGCCATGGCGAGCCTCACTTTTGAAGGTCTCCAAAGCTGCCAAGCGCTTGCTGAGCCAGGCAGAAGCGGAATCAATCGACGCAACTGCGGCCATTGGGAGCAGCCCATATTTCCCAGCGCCGGGGTCCAGGAAGCTCTTTCAGTTGCCAATGAGTTATGCTGTTTGGATGTCTCATATCTTATCGGAGGGTGTGCTCACTGTCTGGTTCAGTCAAGATAGTTTTTATGATTTTTATGCATTCCTTGAAAATACTTGCATTGAGATTAACGCTGAACGAGCCCAAATCCTCACCAGTCAGAACCACGGGCAGGATGGGCGTTGCTCGTCTAGCCACATGTACAACTACTTGCTGCGCAAAAGGATGGGACACAATGGGACAAAGAGATACAAAGGGATTACAAAGAGATCAAAAGGCAACAATCGCCTTAAATTGCAGCGGTCGGCCGCGTCGGCCACAGACCACAACTCAGGACCTGGAATGATGCGGCACTTTTCAATTTCCCAGCTCCTCTTCCGCTGCTGCCACCATGATCTCCCTGTCAGATCACCCGAGTCGGCTAAGCTGCAGAAGTGCCTCTCCCAGTTGTTCTAAGTCATCCCAGCTCCGAGCGCATCCCAAGACCAGGTGGGATTGGTTTGCGCTCGGTCTGCTTTGGGGAAAATGTCCGCACCAAACATGCGACAAGCGAAAAGGTCTGAGCCTGCAATTCCCCTGCAGGCTGCCCAAACAGTTTTGAATTTACTGCCAAGCCAAACCAATGCAGCACTTCAGTATGTTCATCGACATTCAACCAAGTGCTGATCATGCTGGTTGTGTCAAGAGTCTTTACTTACTTGGTTGAGGTAAGAGTTCACACTATGCGTCACGCGAACGAGGCTTGGCGCTAATTTGTCTGCACTACTTCAGAAACATCTTTTGTTTCGTACCACTTTCAGTGGCATAGGACTGATAAGACCTGATCTGGAAGCTCATCCATCAACGCTCGAAGATAAACACAGTACCATCGTTGAAACTGAGGCCGCTGACTTCGAGTGAAACGTCCTTGCGAATCAACGCTTTGACACAGCACTTCGCCCATGTATTCCCATCTTGTATCATCTTGTCCCATCCGCAGTGGAACGCAGTGGAAGCCAGAAAACCTGGATGGCACTGGCCTGCGATAAGCTTCAAAGATTTTGCCATCACATTGCCACCCTCTGTACCTCTGCAAGAAAATGCAAGAAAAGTAGAATGGATGGCTTCAAGTGAGAGACAACCCGAAGGAGAGAAATGCTTGTACAAAAGTCATGTCAAAATATCTCAATACCCTCGGAGCTCGGGGCACGGTCATCTTCAAAAGAAGCTTGGTGAGACATTCGTGGCGCATAGCTTCAGAATCCTACTGGCTGTATGCAATCGAAGAAATCAAAGAAGACTGACCACGTCCTGGTGACCACACACTGCTGGCCTCATGCCCGTTGATCATGACGATCCCTGGCTCAAAGTTTGCTTCTCTCCAAGCAACGGAAGTGTCCATGCAATCATGAAGTTGCTCATGCAGTGTTCAACTCATTCAGTCACTTGCAATATTTGCAATGCCATTGATGCATCCAGACACTTCAGCCATCTTCAGTCATACATCAAGACACTTTTCTACAAACATGCAAGGCGCGCTATCTCCAGGGCGGATTTCTCTGACTTCCCCGGGGCACTGCTTGTTCCACGCTTCGATGGCCCCACCAGGCAGAATCTTTTCTACCAACAAACCCTCTTCACCTGCGAACGAGCTCCAAAAAAAAGCGTAGCATGACCATGGTAGCAACGTACATGTTTTTGTATTAAATTATATCCGCCGACCCCAGCCATCTGCAGGGGGAGCGCGCCCGAGAAAAAGTGGCTTTAAGCCCTAAGCAACACTAGGCAATAGCTTGGTTGTAAATGCTTCCGGCTCCGGCGCCCTTTTGCATCTACCGGGTCAAACAGTCAAGGTTTGCAGCTACAGGGTCCTTGGACTCCAGCTTGGACCGGAGCGGTCGCGGGTACAGTCACGGTTTGGACCTCAGTTTCTCGGTTCAGAAAGTAACGTTTGGCACTCTGGGCTACGGGCCGCGGGTCCAATCCGTCCTTCACTGCCATGGTGTTTTAGCCCTGCGACAGGGTCCTTGGACTCCAGCTTGGACTTGGACCTCAGTTTCTTGTCGGTTCAGAAAGTAACGTTTGGCACTCTGGGCTACGGGCCGCGGGCCCAATCCGTCCTTCACTGCCATGGTGGTTTAGCCCTGCGACAGGATCCTTGGACTCCAGCTTGGACCGGAGCTGTCGCGGGTAAAGTCACGGTTTGGACCTCAGTTTCTTGTCGGTTCAGAAAGTATAACGTTTGGCACTCTGGGCTACGGGCCGCGGGCCCAATCCGTCCTTCACTGCCATGGTGGCTTAGCCCTGCGACAGGGTCCTTGGAAGTCACGGTTTGGACCTCAGTTTCTTGTCGGTTCAGAGAGAACGTTTGGCACTCTGGGCTACGGGCCGCGGGCTCCGTCACTGCCATGGTGTTTTAGCCCTGCGACAGGGTCCTTGGACTCCAGCTTGGACCGGAGCTGTCGCGGGTACAGTCACGGTTTGGACCTCAGTTTCTTGTCGGTTCAGAACGTAACGTTTGGCACTCTGGGCTACGGGCCGCGGGCCCAATCCGTCCTTCACTGCCATGGTGTTTTAGCCCTGCGACAGGGTCCTTGGACTCCAGCTTGGACCGCAGCTGTCGCGGGTAAAGTCACGGTTTGGACCTCAGTTTCTTGTCGGTTTAGAAAGTAACGTTTGGCACTCTGGGCTACGGGCCGCGGGCCCAATCCGTCCTTCACTGCCATGGTGTTTTAGCCCTGCGACAGGGTCCTTGGAAGTCACGGTTTGGACCTCAGTTTCTTGTCGGTTCAGAGAGAACGTTTGGCACTCTGGGCTACGGGCCGCGGGCCCAATCCGTCCGTCACTGCTATGGTGTTTTAGCCCTGCGACAGGGTCCTTGGACTCCAGCTTGGACCGGAGCTGTCGCGGGTACAGTCACGGTTTGGACCTCAGTTTCTTGTCGGTTCAGAAGGTAACGTTTGGCACTCTGGGCTACGGGCCGCGGGCCCAATCCGTCCTTCACTGCCATGGTGCTTTAGCCCTGCGACAGGGTCCTTGGATTCCAGCTTGGACCGGAGCTGTCGCGGGTAAAGTCACGGTTTGGACCTCAGTTTCTTGTCGGTTCAGAAAGTAACGTTTCGCACTCTGGGCTACGGGCCGCGGGCCCAATCCGTCCTTCACTGCCATGGTGTTTTAGCCCTGCGGCAGGGTCCTTGGACTCCAGCTTGGACCGGAGCTGTCGCGGGTACAGTCACGGTTTGGACCTCAGTTTCTTGTCTGTTCAGAAGGTAACGTTTGGCACTCTGGGCTACGGACCGCGGGCCCAATCCGTCCTTCACTGCCATGGAGTTTTAGCCCTGCGACAGGATCCTTGGACTCCAGCTTGGACCGGAGCTGTCGCGGGTAAAGTCACGGTTTGGACCTCAGTTTCTTGTCGGTTCAGAAAGTAACGTTTGGCACTCTGGGCTACGGGCCGCGGGCCCAATCCGTCCTTCACTGCCATGGTGTTTTAGCCCTGCGACATGGTCCTTGGAAGTCACGGTTTGGACCTCAGTTTCTTTCGGTCAGAGAGTAACGTTTGGCACTCTGGGTAAGCGGCCGCGGCCCAATCCGTCCGTCACTGCATGGTGGTTTTTAGCCCCTGCGACAGGGTCCTTGGACTCAGCATTGGACCGCGTGTCGCGGGTTCAAGTCACGTTTGGACATCAGGTTTTTTTGTCAGTGCAGAAAGTAACGGTTGGCACTATGGGTACGGCCGCCGGGGGCCCAATCCGTCCTTCAATTGCCATGGTGGTTTTTTAGCCCTGCACAGGTCCTTGGACTCCAGCTTGGACCAGGAGCTGTCGCGTGTAAGTCAAGTTGGACTCGTTTCTTGTCGGTTCAGAAAGTAACGTTTGGCACTCTGGGCTACGGGCCGCGGGCCCAATCCGTCCTTCACTGCCATGGTGGTTTAGCCCTGCGACAGGATCCTTGGACTCCAGCTTGGACCGGAGCTGTCGCGGGTAAAGTCACGGTTTGGACCTCAGTTTCTTGTCGGTTCAGAAAGTAACGTTTGGCACTCTGGGTTTGGCACTCTGGGCTACGGGCCGCGGGCCCAATCCGTCCTTCACTGCCATGGTGTTTTAGCCCTGCGACAGGGTCCTTGGATCCAGCTTGGGACCGGAGCTGTCGGGAGGTACAGTCACGGTTGGACCTCAGTTCTTGTGGTTCAGAAAAATGGTAACGTTTGGGCAATCTGGGCTATACGGCCGCGGCCAATCCGTCTTCACTGCAATGGTGTTTTAGCCCTGGACAGGGGTCCTTGGCTCCAGCTTGGACAGCAGCTGCCGGGGTACAGTCACGCGGTTTGGACCTCAGTTTCTTGTCGGTTCAGAAAGTAACGTTTGGCCCTCTGGGCTCCGGGCCGCGGGCCCAATCCGTCCTTCACTGCCATGGTGTTTTAGCCCTGCGACAGGGTCCTTGGAAGTCACGGTTTGGACCTCAGTTTCTTGTCGGTTCAGAGAGTAACGTTTGGCACTCTGGGCTACGGGCCGCGGGCCCAATCCGTCCGTCACTGCCATGGTGTTTTAGCCCTGCGACAGGGTCCTTGGACTCCAGCTTGGACCGGAGCTGTCGCGGGTACAGTCACGGTTTGGACCTCAGTTTCTTGTCGGTTCAGAACGTAACGTTTGGCACTCTGGGCTACGGGCCGCGGGCCCAATCCGTCCTTCACTGCCATGGAGTTTTAGCCCTGCAACAGGATCCTTGGACTCCAGCTTGGACCGGAGCTGTCGCGGGTAGTCACGGTTTGGACCTCAGTTTCTTGTCGGTTCAGAAAGTGACGTTTGGCACTCTGGGCTACGGGCCGCGGGCCCAATCCGTCCTTCACTGCCATGGTGTTTTAGCCCTGCGACAGGGTCCTTGGAAGTCACGGTTTGGACCTCAGTTTCTTGTCGGTTCAGAGAGTAACATTTGGCACTCTGGGCTACGGGCCGCGGGCCCAATCCGTCCGTCACTGCCATGGTGTTTTAGCCCTGCGACAGGGTCCTTGGACTCCAGCTTGGACCGGAGCTGTCGCGGGTAAAGTCACGGTTTGGACCTCAGTTTCTTGTCAGTGCAGAAAGTATACGTTTGGCACTCTGGGCTACGGGCCGCGGGCCCAATCCGTCCTTCACTGCCATGGTGGTTTAGCCCTGCGACAGGTCCTTGGACTCCAGCTTGGACCGGAGCTGTCGCGGGTAAAGTCACGGTTTGGACCTCAGACCGGAGCTGTCGCGGGTACAGTCACGGTTTGGACCTCAGTTTCTTGTCGGTTCAGAAGGTAACGTTTGGCACTCTGGGCTACGGGCCGCGGGCCCAATCCGTCCTTCACGGCATGGTGTTTTAGCCCTGCGACAGGGTCCTTGGACTCCAGCTTGGACCGGAGCTGTCGCGGGTAAAGTCACGGTTTGGACCTCAGTTTCTTGTCAGTGCAGAAAGTAACGTTTGGCACTCTGGGCTATGGGCCGCGGGCCCAATCCGTCCTTCACTGCCATGGTGGTTTAGTCCTGCGACAGGGTCCTTGGATTCCAGCTTGGACCGGAGCTGTCGCGGGTAAAGTCACGGTTTGGACCTCAGTTTCTTGTCGGTTCAGAAAGTAACGTTTGGCACTCTGGGCTACGGGCCGCGGGCCCAATCCGTCCTTCACTGCCATGGTGTTTTAGCCCTGCGACATGGTCCTTGGAAGTCACGGTTTGGACCTCAGTTTCTTGTGTTTTAGCCCTGCGACAGGGTCCTTGGACTCCAGCTTGGACCGGAGCTGTCGCGGGTAAAGTCACGGTTTGGACCTCAGTTTCTTGTCGGTTCAGAAAGTAACGTTTGGCACTCTGGGCTACGGGCCGCGGGCCCAATCCGTCCTTCACTGCCATGGTGTTTTAGCCCTGCGACAGGGTCCTTGGACTCCAGCTTGGACCGGAGCTGTCGCGGGTAAATTGTCACGGTTTGGACCTCAGTTAGTTCAGAAAGTAACGTTTGGCACTCTGGGCTACGGGCCGCGGGCCCAATCCGTCCTTCACTGCCACATGATGTTTTGGCCCTGCGACAGGGTCCTTGGACTCCAGCGTGGACCGGAGCTGTCGCCCTTTTGCATCTGCCGGGTCAAACCGTCAAGGTTTGCAGCTACCATGGTGTTTTAGCCCTGCGACAGGCAGCTTGGACCGGAGCTGTCGCGGGTAAAGTCACGGTTTGGACCTCGTTCTTGTCGGTTCAGAAAGTAACGTTTGGCACCTTTTGCTATACCTAACAAGTCAATGCTTTACTAACTTTGCTACAACATGCTATAACAGCTCGGTTTCACCTCTGCAACCTGCGTGCTAAGTTGCGTGACTAGGGGTCGGCGGCAGGGGGCGGCAGCCCTTAAATTAAAATTCGGCTCCGCCGGCTCCCCACGAGTACGCTGACAAATGCGTCACGAGCGTCCCAGAGCGACTAGAGCTCTAAGGTGAGGCGCGCCCCCAGCCGCCGACCCTCCGACGCCGGGCCCCGAAAACCACCAAAAATCCTTCAGGAGGGTGGGGGAGAGGTTTTTGGCCGGGATCCGGGTCGCTCATAAGCGTCTCCAAGAGCATTCCCCCCCCCCCGTTTTGAGGGTACCTAAAATCGGAAAAAAGTGCCGTTTTGACACATTTTTCGGACGATTTTTC